TCAATTTAAATCATTATATTTATATTTTTGTTTGTCCTGCTTCAATTTCATATTATCTTTTTCTCATTAAACAAATTTTCCTCTGTAGTTACTAATTGGAGTATGACACCTTTATATCTTTTAATTTTATCCATTCAACTCTTATTTAAGCTTCAATTTATACCTTTAAGATTATAACATTCAATATAATACATAACTACCAATCGAATTCTGCTTGATACATTCTTAGAATATACACTATATTCTTTAAAAAAAATTATATATATATGTAAACAAAGCACACATTCCATTCCAATTCAATTCTATCATTAATATTCATTAAAATCTTAATATCTTTAATCTTAATATTTCTTTTCAATTGAATATCATACTTCCTTGGGAACACTTATAAACTTTCCATGATTAATTCTTTTTTTTCCCATGTTTCTCTTCACTTGTATTTTATCAATCATTAATAATAATTAAAATGTTCTCATCCTTTCCTAATTTAATTCTCATTCACTTTATTTCATTTTACAATAAGTATTTTATCCATCATTTTAATCATATTTTCTAAAATTATTTCTATTTGTAATATAACAATATATTTCATATTATCTTTTCTCATTAAACAAATTTTCTCCTGTAATTATGACACCTTTATATCTTTTAATTTTATCCAACTCTTATTTAAGCTTCAATGTATACCTTTAAGATTATAATATTCAATATAATATATAACTTCCAATCGAATTCTGCTTGGTACATTCTTAAAATACACACTATATTCTTAAAAAAAGATTATATATATATATATATATGTAAATAAAACACTCATTCCATTCCAATTCAATTCTATCATTAATATTCATTAAAATCTTAACATCTTTAACATTTCTTTTCAATTGAATATCATACTTCTTTGTGAACACTTGTAAACTTTCCATAATTAATTCCCCCCCCCCATATTAATAATAATTAAGATGTTCCCATCCTTTCCTACTTTGTCTCATTCACTTTAATTCATTTATTTATTAACAAACATTCCACACATTCCATACAGTGGATATTTTATCCATCATTTTAATCATATTTTTTAAAATTATTTCTATTTGTAATATAACAATGCTATCTTATGTACCTTTGCAGAGTCCCTTTTACAATTAGATTTTCACCCATTATCTCTAAACAAGCTTGTGGTTTCAATCCTTATATCTTTTCCCTGTTCCTCTATATCTTGTTTCTGTCTTTTATAACTTCTTTTCCTTTCCTGTTTCCCCTTCTTCTTCTCCTTCCCCTTTTTACCCCCTTGTCTCTCTACTTCTAATTCTCTCTTCTGTAATTCCCTCTTCTGTTGCTTTCTAATATTATACTTATCTTTCGAATTATTCTTCTTTTTCTTTGTTGTTTTTTCTAGTCTTAAACCTTTTATTCTCTCCCCCTTTCCTTTTAGTCCACCACATAAAATTACTTGATCATTAAAGATGGCTTCTTCTTTGTCCCATTCTTCTTGTTCTGCAAGCGTTTCTTGTTGTTTCTCATAGTTCCAGATCTCCATTTCTAAAAATTGAAATACCAAGCCAATAGAATCTCTCCCTTCTTGTGCATCTTCTTTCCATTTTTTAAGTTCCATTTTCAGTTCTTCTAAGAGTGATGCCATTTTAAACACTTTTAAACAACCACCCGACTAACTTTAGTCATTTAAATACAAAAGCCAAAAATCACCAAGTAATCCAAATAATGCAAGGTTGTTTCTTCTTGCTTCTTTCTTCACCTTCTCTTCTTGGGGCTCTATTATTTTGTTGCCAAGTTTCAGTTAGAATGTATCTTTTAGGAATCTTGTTAGAGTTTCACTGTAAATTCCTTTTAGTTCCAGTTCCATTCCTTAATTCCAGGCAGTCTCCTCCATTTTTCCAGATCCTGCCCTTTTATTCTTTTTTTCTCCTTTCCTGCTTTTAAAAACTTTTAAGTTTCCAGAAATCTTTCTTATCCCTTTGACATTTTATTTTCAGCTTAAATACCTATTAATGTCAAAGTGGATTTTTTTTTAATTTCTTGCTTAAGTCTCTCAGCTGTCAGTATAAGGAAGGGAAGAAAAAAAACCAAATCCTTTCCCTTCTCTCTCTCCTTCACTTCTTCAAAATCTTCTTTGGGAACAATGTTATTTTTTATAGTTTAAATTCCAGAGTACCTTATGTTGTTGCTTTTTCAGTTTAACCCAGTCAACCAAAACTTTCTCTTCTTGTCTTCCTCCTGCACATTCTTTTCTGGTCAAGTTCTTCTTTGAGGTGGCCATTTCTGACCACCGCTGCAACCGCCTTTGGGAAAGGGAGTAATGGCCAGCTGGGGAGGAGAGATGCGGCTCTCCTTGACCCTGCTGGCAGTCTCCCCCCTATTCACCACCTCTATGGGGTGGCTTAGCCCCGAAATCAGCTGGCTCAGGGCACTCCAGTGGTGAGCACGGATCGAAACCATGCATGACTGCAGATTTTGCTCTGTCGCCGAAGAGACTCCAAAAGCAGTCTAGTTGCCTTTTCAAAAAAAGCACCTTTGAGACAACTATGACCTGGATGACTGACAATCTCCATAGATATACAGTCCCAGGTTAGCTTGTTCATTGTGAAGTATTCTGTTCACAAGACTAAAAGATTGTTAGCAATACAGATATTTCATCCATATTTTTAATTCTCTGTGTTTTGGATAACATTTGATCTTCACAAAAATAACTAAATTGAGATGGAATAAGTCTTTCCTACACTCAGAATAATTTTTAATATAATACTGCTCTTATCAACTTTTGAAAACATCCAAGCAATTTCATGTTTTTTTAAAAAAACTACTTGACTCTTTACAAATGAAATTGGACATAGAAACGTCTATTAGGATATAAATCTGATTAAACTAATTTTCCATGTACCACAATGTTTTCTTTGACATGGGAGTAATGAAGAGCAGAATGTACCATCAACTCTTGGAGTTTATTATCTGAGATCAATTGTTATTACATAAGTTCATATTTGGGGTGTGTTTTTGTTACTGAGTAGAGGGAAAGGAGTTAAAATTTGCAGAGGTTATTTACTTTATTGCCACAATAACTTTCTCATAATTAGTACTTGCTGACCCTCTCCATAGAGGCACAGGAACATTCAGGATAGTCCGCTGCTGGGGGATTCCTGAATGCCTAGGGAATTGCATTATGGTGTAGTGAGATGACAATACAATTCTTCTTAGGCATTGTCTTTGGTTTTTTGGATCCTAAAATGCTGTCTAGATTTAGCAACTTTTTCAGGTGCCAAACAAGAATTGAGTACAGATTACACAAGCCTAATGGCAGATCCAAATGTATATATATATGTGAAAACATTATGTTGTGTCAACTATATGGCTGTAAGCAGAGGTGGTATT